GATTAAAAAAATTGAGATGGAATAACAAATCGTTCTCATGAAAATAACTGATTTTTTCATTAAAACAAAAAAATGTTGCATTTTATTAAATGGATTGTTACAATAAGTATAATTACGGCTTTTCTTCCACTATTTTTAACGATATAATTTTAGCTTGGACCATCTAAGCTGACTGACATCAACTTGCTATAATTTCTGTTTACATTACATCGCAATTCGATGACACTCTGGCTCAGACACCAGAATGTTTTGACGATTTTTAGCATTCGTTTAGGATTTTCAAACAACTTGGTCTCTTTTAAAATACTTTTAATTTGTTCTTACGTGGTTTTCCAAATGTAGTGACGACAACATTAAAGTTTAAAGAAGAAAATTCTAACATTTAAATCGACTAAACAATAACATAGTAAACTTGCATAATTAAACAGCAACTAAAAGTGATAGGTTTTACTAAATCTTTTCCTGTGCAATGATTACTAGCATTGGAGACAAGGATAATAGTTTGTTTGAAAGAGAAAAGAACAGGCTTTGAAGTAAGCCTAAAAGCGCTTAACTAGAAATAGTATTTCGAAAGTTATTAAGCGCAAAAGATGAATTGCGTTTATTTTGATACTCCCTGTATATATATATATATATATATATATATATATATATATATATATATATATATATATATATATATATATATATATATGTTAAGTTGTGTAATTGTACACTCCGTAATATGTTAAGATGAAAGAGAGAGTGTGTATTATTTAATTTCCCTACCCAGGGCAAGGAGAAAGATGTTGTCTGCCGCGGCTTCGAATTACTAGAAGAGCGTCGATCTAGTAATTCGAAGGTCGCGGGTTCAAGACCCAGTCGTGGCAGACAACATCCTTCTGCTTGCGCTGGGTATGGAAATTATATAATACACACTTTAGAACATTTTCATCTTAATATACAGGGTGTATAAAAAAAAACTGAACAGATTTAAAATTGCTCTCAATTTCGCAAAACAGTTATTTGTATCCGGTTCTTTATATATATAGCCTCTTTGGGTACTTATAATGTAGAATAATGAGAAAAATTTCTCGAACTCAAATTTTGTGAACCAGGGGGGTTTGTATTTTCCAATAAACTAAAAATGGCTCGCGCACAAAATTTAAAAGCTGCAATCATAATTTGAGTTAACAGATGGAAAACTTGTCAGGATTTTAATTACTGTACAAAATTTCAGACAATTTGGTTTAGTTTAAGCCCCTTAACTATTCACGCAAAGTTGCAATTTTCCCGAAAAATCAGCTATTTGCATGCTTAATTAATGTATTTGCCTAATTTGCATATGTCAGCAATATGCAAATTAGGTAAAGGCATTAATTAAAGGGTAATGGCAATAAAAAAATTTATTGCTTTATCTGAAAGAGCATGAAAAAATAAGCCGATTGGCCGTTTACTGCTCTATTCTATCTCATCTGGTTCCGAAGTTATACGCAAAAATGTGCAAAATATAAATTGCTGATT